AGCACCTTGGCAACTGACTTCACTAGAAGCTGTAAAAGTATCAAAACATGAAGGTAGTCCCACTGGCAGAAGTTCACTAATCTGTACCCATGCCTTGCTGAGATCAGGTGATAGTTCAACACAGGGGATCTGGAAGGTCAGTCTGTTATTTTTTTTTGTAAGGAGCCACCAGCATAAAATTAAGGATATGTTTTACCCTGTGGCAATAGATCTTAGATGATCTCAGGTGTTATTTGTCACAGGTAAAGTACCATAGACTATAAATGTATCATTCTCTCTGTAAGTCCTTGATGCAATTTATAATCCTTCTTGCCGTGGAGAAACTTAAGGTTGTTTCAGATACGAGGTTATTTATACTTGGATGATTGTCTTCATTACTATATGTTCCTGATGTTACTCATACAGTTATGATAGGCGGGTACATAGAATTAGAAACAAGCCCATTGAAAAGCACTGATTCATGTCATATTCATGAGTAATTTTCCCTGATGAAAGAAATTGAGACTAAAATTTTATAATACAGACAATGTAGCTGCCCTGGCCTCTCAACCATTCCAACATCACAGAGGTTAGGCCTTGGAAGAGCTTAGTTCCCTTTCTACCTTTACCTGATGGGTTTTGAACTTGAGTCAGAATTGCTCTAACATTTTAAATTGGGGAAAGTGGTGTGGAGTTTCTCAGCCTTTCCTATTAGTGCTGCTTCTCATTATGTAAAAAACCTGAATGATAGATAAGGTCTCTTCCAACCCAAACCATTCTATGATTCCATGTCTTTTGCTTTTCTCATAATATGTGACAAGGAAATGTTTAATTTCAGGTCACTTGGAAGGAAGGTTTCTTTTGACACAAAATCATTTGTTATTGCTGCTTTGTTCTTCAGCTGAAGGGGAAAAAAACCCCACCTTCAGTTTTCTTGCAATTGTTTTTTTCCATTTGTAGGTATCTGTGAAGCAGTGAGACTATGGAATTTCTGCATGAGGCAGGGGATATGTTCTCTCGTGCACAGACCAACATTTCCCAGCTTATTCTTAAGGAAAGCATTCTTCAAAAATAATTTAAGTAAGGAGGTATTTATGTATTGCCCATCTTCTCTAGTGCTTGAAAAATGCATGGTTCATGGCCACTAGTGGTTCTTCTCATAGTGGGGAAGGTTTATTGGCCATAATCCTGGAAGTCTGGCAGTCCCCTGTGTGTCAAATGATCACTGATTGTATTGGAAAAGGATGCTTCAGTGACAGCAGGCAGCCCCTGGGCAGAAAGAGGTGTCCCTTGTCCCTGAGCAATAACCTGTATGGATGATTGAGACTTGTTGATAGACCTCCATGGAAGTCTTACCTAGTAGTAAGAGCTTAGCAGTGTCTGACTTAGTGAAGGATCTCTCAGTACAGGATGCTTGAACTTGATTTGTTACTCTCATCAAGAGGGTATAAAGGTAGGCAAAAACTGAACATGCCTTGAGGCCCAGGCAGATGCAGTTTTTCCACAGACTCTGTCTTATGGGAGGGAAAGAAAGAAAAGGCTGCTAGAATTTACAAAATATAGTTATTGACTAATTTCTTCATCAGCAAGAGCTATAAGAAATCAGTGAGGTCTCTCCTGAGAGACCAGTGGTGTCACCTCACGTGTCCTCAGGGTGCCAAATGGTATAAAACACTCACTTTGAAAGTACTGCACCGTGATAAGCTTTAACACCCAAGGGATGCATTGTGTGTACATTTTGTTATATGTAATGACACACTGAAAGGGCAGTGAAGCTGTTAAGGGAACACTGCATGTCTAAAAAGAACTTATTTTTCTTTCAACCAATAAAAGAAGGAAAGACTCTTTCAGAAAAGCAGTTAAAATAATATCATTTAAATGTAAGAAGTGATAAAATACCAGAGAGAATTCACCTGTCAGATGAAGAAATTCCGAACATGAAGTCTTCTGTGTAACATACACATTTCAAATTGGACCATTTTCCTGATAAAGCAATAGAACTCTGCCAAAAGCTTTTAAAATAGTTGATATATATACAAAATTTTAAGGCTGACACAACCAGCAGAACAGCAAAAATTATTTAAAACAGATTTGAAGAATAAGGAAAAAGAATGTAATTTCATGTAGTCATTCTAGACAATGTGTAAGAGGCTGTGATATTCAACAAGACCAAAGTTGGATGTGAGACTCTGGGAGTTTTTTAGCAAAGATGATTTTGTGGAAATACAGTTCAGTGCATATAAAAAATACCCCTAGAGGTGACTACAATGCTAACAACAATATTTTGAAACAAAGCTAAAAAAGACTCATATTCCCTTCAGTGTAATTCCATGTGGACATATTCAAAAATTCTGTACAGCCTCAGTGTGCTGGGGCCCATTTTCCAGTAGAAATACTTTTATCTACAAAACTTATGGAAATGTATGTGAATGTTTTCATGTATTTCCAGTACAAAAGTACTTGCCTTCCTTAAACTTGACACAGAATGATATCTGACTATAAGAAATCCCAGTCAGCAAGGTGACAAAACAATTGGGCAAATGCATTTCTGATGAACTTTAAATGTGAAATTTAAATTGGACAAATAATACATTTTATATTATTTACAAATAAACCAAAGCTCATAAAAAATAGAAAAATGAATTGGGTAGGATGGTGCAGTTGCATCTACTCTTACCTCAGTTCCATCAATCACTGTCAGTTAATTATCATTAAGATTGCATAAAAAAAGGCCCCTGTGGGAGTTGGATAGGTTGTGAGTGTCATTCTTTCATTAAAAACAAGATAAACAATATAAGCCTTGTTTTAATTTTTCGTTTTGTTTGTTTTGTTTTTTTCATTTGGGTTTTTTTGTATTCAAAGAAATTATGTGAAAAGATGAATCTTGAATAATTGTGCTGAGAGTTACCATATGGATTGCAGAGACAAGGCAATAGAACAAGGGATTCAAAATAAAGTTGGTTCTTGTCAGGAAAATTTTAAAGATTTTAAATTTCTTTCTTTTTTTCTTTTTTCTTTCCTTCCAAAATTCAATAGAATTTCCCTTTCTAAGGTGCAAAACTTGCAGGATTTTTAAAAGAAATGCTTGCTTTTTAATGAGCTGTGCTGTTTTTACATCACCAGGGTTTATACATGTAGTTTAGAAACCTTCTTTTTCAAAAAAAGTGTCTAAAATTTAAAGTCACATGACTCCAAAAGGTGATTCTTCAACAGAGCACAAGCCAGCATGAAACTCACTGAGTTGAGAATACAAAAATTTTTGGAGCTTGTGAGCTGATCTGTGGGGCTCAGCTCATGAGCACTTAACTAATGACAGAAATAGGAATGCAGTAGTGGGCAGGAGAAGATACTGTTATTTCCAGGGTGCACCCCTGCACTGCTGAATAGCAGTTCACATTGTTAAAAGTGTCGAGGTTTATTGATAGCGCTCACCAGTATCCCAAACACGGGCTGGTACCTGAGCTCTGTGAAACTTCTACCTTTGATATAAAATTGTTTCTGTCAGCTTGTGCTTGCTCAGCCTGAGGATCACAAGACTCTCCTGGTCAAACATCTTCTCTGCAAAAGGTGGCTGCAGAGATTCAACTAAGCTAAACTAGCTATAATTTTATATACTTAACATAAATTTATATAACTAGAACATATATATATCTTATAAATTATAATTTGTTTATTGGTATTATTTTGATCAATTTATAGAGATATATAAATTTATACAAATTTATATAAATAAAATAACATGCATTTTTTGCATCTTTGAATAGTTATTTGTCATGGGAAAACATTTTTGTTATAGGCAATATCTTTTTTTTGTTTGTTGGGGTTTGGATTTAGTTTTTTTAAGTCAGGCTTCATTGTTAACTCTTTTTTTCCTCCTAAATGACAGAAGTGCCTTAAGAACAAGAACAATTTAAAGTTTGAAGTCTTCAGGGCCAAAGGCTTCTCTGTTAATCAAAACAATAATTAAAATATCCCAAAACCTTGCACTTGGAATTAGCCACATTTTGGGCAATTGCTCAAATGAACCTCAGAGCTGGAGTCACCTAAATGCAAGTTTTCCCACACAGATGTCAAAGAAACAAAAGGCCTGTAAATGTCACCACCTCAAACCAAAATGAAGTCTTTAACACTGCTGAGCAATGGTTTCTAATGAGGACAAATGACTGACTTAAACTAGAGCAAAGCTGCCCTATTTAGGGCTCTTCAGGCTGAAGGCAGCCCATCAGGACAATTCATCTGCTCCTTGTCGACCTCCTCGTCCTCCTGGGAAAGCCTCTTTGCCCAGACCCAGGCTGTAGACTGCACTTAGGGTGTGATGGGCAGCCAGATGGTCACAAGTTAGAGAGACCTGTGTGCAGATCAGGTCAGGCAACTCACGTTGTCCATGCACCCTATTTTATTTTATTGGGTATGTTCTGACATGTCAGGAAAGATTATGCTTTGGATAAAACCTTATCAAGTAAGCTCATTTTTACTCCCATATCATTGCTCCATCCTGAGTGGAGTTTCTTCATTATTTAGTTATTGGAGAAGGAAGGTCCTCCAGTGCCAATTTCATTTTGCAAGGTTGGGCCAATGTTAGCATGTCTGTAAACTAGAAGAAAAGGGAATTAGGCCATAGCAGAAAGGGACAGTGCATCTTGAAAGAAAACTAAGACTGAAACCCTAACCTCTCCTAATTTACATATGGTGACATTTTGCAGAAATATTGTAACATTAGCAGTGGCATAATGAAATTCTGCCTATCAGCCGTGGAAGGAATAATGTTACTGTAAAGGTAACCTGTCCACAGTTTGTTATCAAGGAAATATTCATGGCGAGAAACATACATATACCAATGAGTGTTAAGAACAGTAGTTTTTCCTTATATTTTTTCCTCGTGGGCTATCCATCTTCCCCTCCAGATTTACTGCATGATCACTCCCTTTACATGCTAATTATGTGCAGCTCTGGTGAATTTGTTAGTAGTGACACTTTGGGCACCCAGTGGGACTGCAACTCATTATGTGGCAATGTCCAGATATATCAGATATTATTAGCTGTCATTAATCTGCTGTGGAAACATTGAGTGCACAGCCAAGAGAGAGACCAGGAAATAGAGTAAAAATGAAGTCTGCAGCCACCCTGGCCCCCAGAAGGTCAGAGGGCAAATCAGCAGGGGAGAAGAATACACCTTAAAATGGCCAGTGCTTAGCAGTAGATTTTTAACCCATTGTAAACCAGCATTTCTAAGAAGAGGAAAGACAAAAAGAAACTATACTGTTTGTAGTGTCTGTTTGGCTATGCTTTACTGATGGAAAAAGGAATACAACATCTCAAACTGTCTTTTTTATAAGCTATTTTCTACAACTGAATCACAGCAATAAAAGTGTGTGAATAGGAAGAAGACTGAGCAACATGCAGTATCTCTCTCAGTGTGGATAGCCCTCAGGCATAAAGCTTTGAAATTAGGCACATGTAACTTTGAATAGGATTAGGTTCCCCCTCCATTTGAAGGTCATATTTTATAGAACTGGATCTGGTAGTAGAGAAAATCCCACAGAAATGAAGAGGTTGCTCTCACTGTTCATCCAGTCCTGGAATTTGCCTGTATAAGTGCAGGAGTTTGCCTCTAGACTGCAAATGCAGAGCTGATCGGCCTCTGTTACGCAGCTTAAAAACACAAATCACAGTAGGTTGCATTTTTGACACCACTCCTGAAAAACAGTCACTGGTAAAAGTTACATATATTTGTGCTTGTACAGCATTTATTACATCTGCTTGGAGTGCAGAAATAAAAACGAAAGATTCTTCCCAGAAAACTCCATAGTCTTTGCGATCTCCAAGATGAATTGCAGAGTACTATCCAGGACTATAAGAAGCAGCATTTTCTTTCTTTACATCAACTAAAGAGGCTGGAAGAATCCAGTCAGGTTTCAAGACAAGAAGAGTCTTCTCTGGTCTGAAATTAAACAGAAAACAGCAAAGTAGAGATTAGGAATCTCTGAGTTTAATGGTGATATATTTATTACCTAGACAATTTTCAGAGCAGGGGAAAGGTAATAGGTTGGTTAGTCTGTGTGTGTCCATAACTTACATGTGCCTTTTGCTACTGTCAAAGGGCACTCTGAAAACTCAGTGACCTTAAAATAAAAATAAATAATAAGATAGGGGGATTTGAGATAGAAAAAACTACATTTTATCAAAGGAAGTAAAAGTAATCTTTTGTTTCCAAGGTTACAAGGACCTACGCTCCCTTATCTAGAAGCTGCAGTGCTTTTGTTAGAAGGTTTATACAAAAATTAAAGAAAAGAAATCACCCTAAAATTCTTCAAAAAATGACAGCTTATACTTGTTCGGGGAAGCTGGAGTGAAGTTCTTCATCCAGTTGCTTGGAAATTTCTCAGTGAGCCACCCATCCGAATTTCCTGAAGGAATTTGAGAAGTACCGGTTTTATTCCCATTAAAGTGGTCTAATCTTATGCTTCACAATTTTTCACACAATTCACAATGAGGGTAATAACAGGAAAAAAAAGGCCTGATGTTTTATTTATGGACCTATCTTCAATTTGACAGACTCTGATAAACCCATGCAAAACCAACTACCATGATTAAGCTTTAGGTTGTCTTAAATTCTGCACAATCCCATGAAATAGAAGGTAGTATTAGTATTTGGTGAAATGGTTCCCATTAATACTTCCCAAACTAACAGCCATTCATGAACTCAAGTTCTAGGAAAAGATTCAAAAGTCATTTTGGTGTAATTGTGGGATTTGCAGAAATACCCTGAAGTGCTCGGAAGAGCAGTGTTAGCAATGGGGCAGGTGGCGAGTACCTAGGGAAATAAAGAAGAAGCACTTTTATCCTTGGTCTTGAACCTTTGCAATTTTGGTGTTCAGGAGGATAGGTTTATTTTTATGTGAGAACAATGTAATATCAAAGAAGAGTTACAATTCAATGGCACTAATGTGGACAAAAAAAAGGCATGAGACATTCCAAGTTCTGTATGAATACATTCAATAAGTTGGTGATGGATTCTTTTTTAGTCTTTTTCTAGTGTTTATAAAATTCTACAAATACAGCATACCTTGCCCTTTTTCCAGTGGAGGGGAATAAAAATTTATTCCAGCTTCTTTTTCCTTTGAGTTCTTTGGATAACTGAACATGAGGCGAATACTGTTTTAGCAGTAGGTTAACGAGTTACAGGTCAGGCTTACAGTGGAAAAATTGCAGTCAGCCTCTGTGGTTCTGTGTTTGCCAAATTTACACTGATGAAGTTGTTATGGTAGGCTCACCTTCCCCCCCCCCTTCCCCCGTAGAGGAACATATTTGTCATTTGCCCATCAAGATTATGCTGTCTTTTCAGTGCCTATGTTGCTCCTTAAGATCCTGCAGGCACTTATTTTCACATTTAACATGATACGCACGAGTAAGCCTCACTCAACTGGTAGAACTAGTCAGGTGTAAAACTCTGATGTGTGTACTCTGTAGGGCTGGGACCTAAGCAAATTCCACACAACACAAAAGTGTGTTACATTTTACAAAACTCCATCATTTCATATTCCATTGTTCGTAACAAGATGAAGATGAAGAATTAGGTCTTATCTAGACCTAAGTATCAGCAATGCTAACAAAGATATCTGCACAGCTGTCTTTGATATTTATTGTACTGAAATGGTGCACTAAATGTTAAGTTCAGTCTTTTAAGAGATGATATATATATATATATACATACTCTTCAATATATATATACAGAATTGTTTTCAAAGTAAAATCCTAGGGATAGGTTTAAAAAGATTGTAAGTTGTAACATAATGGCAGGTCATCACCTTGAATTTGGAGTGTGGAGAGTACTGGAACTCTCTTTTCCTCGAGACTCAGAAAATTCAGAAGTAGAGTGTAAAAAACCCTAGCAGCAATTTTATCTTCCCGGATGAGTATGAATACCTCTAGGAATATCCCACTGATTTGGATTTTTTTTCCTTATCTGCTTTGTAAAAGCTAGTCATAGTTATAGATTCATAGTGTATAAAGTGGGCAAAGTTAGTTGTAATTAAGACTATATTCATCTTTCTGAAAGTTAAAAGCGACGTCAGCTCTGAACTGATATATCTGCCCAGGAGCTGCGTGTGAGCTGTTAGATCATTTGCTAATACTGTCAGATACTGTGAGAGAGCTGTGCCTCGCGAATTTTAGGGTCTACATTTCCTCTGCAAATGCCTGCAAGTGGCAGGGCTCTGTCACAGCTCTGTTCTTCTTACCTCATGCAGCACTTGCCATAAATTACCCCACTTCATGTAAACGGCAATCACTGCTTAGGATGATTCACTGTTTTTGTGATGTTTGTTAGGTGAAAATGTAAGGAGAGATGAGTTTAAGCTCAGATTCATTGCAGTTTTCCAGATGTTTCCTGGACATTTATTCATTATCATCGTCACTCATTTAGGTGACTTAGACTCCTGCAGAATAAGGTACTAGTTAGCATGAGTGAAGAGGGGAGAATCTGATCTGAAATTATGGAGCTGTGAGTTGTCATTAACATTTTATTTAAAAGGATTCTGGTGCAGCTGAGACAGGAACAAGGAAATGCAACCAGAGCAATAAGACCACCAAAGCTCAGGACAATATTTCAAGGCCACTTCTTGAAAAATCTAAAGATTTTTACTATATTTTCCGAAGTCACAGATGTTTTTTATTATTGCTAGTATTTTTATTTCATTAGCACTAAAAGAATGGAAATCAGAGCCCTTTTGCTGTTTTTCTATCTAGAAAAAAAGGTAGGAGTAAAAAACCAACTTAAATGGATAAAACATTATCCAAGATTAAAGGGAAAATGTTTCAAGTGTGTGGAATGATGAACATTTGAGAATTCACGTTTCATCACCACAAATCATTGCAGAAATTGTGTTGCACATGTCTATGCATGTGTCTGCCTGTTTACATGTGCAGAAAATACATATCATTGGATCAAGAGTGAATAACAATTCGACAAGCCTCCACCAGAGAGTTGTAACTGTTCATTTCAGATAGAAACAAATTATTTCACAACAAAATACAGATAAACAGACCTTTAAATTCACTTGAATTTCTTTTAGAGAGAAGTCATATTATGCAGTACCAAAACATAATAATTTCCTGGATTTATTGTAATATGTTTCTAAACACATCAGGTGTTTACTGAGGTTTAGTTTCCTTAAAAGCATTGTGGTTATGCATTCAAATTTTGACCCTTGTTTCCAGTGTTGTAGAATCAACTGCCTCTGGAAAAAAAAAAAAAAAGAAAGAAACAAACAAGCAAAACCCCCTGAAGCAACAAAAAACAAACAAACACAACTAGAAACTCCAAAACAAACAAACAAAAACACTGCTGAAGTTTTTTCAGGAGAAAAAGATTTAGAGGTTTTGGGGGACTTTTTCTATTCCCATTAACAAAGCCAAGGTTCTGCCCTGGTGGCCTGAACCTGGATCAATCTAGCATAACGCTGCATTAGGCGGATGCCTCTTCTGGATGTGTTAAAGATCCTAGTGATCTCTCTCACTTTCTTCCTCCACTGTGTACCCAAATCTACCCTTGTTTTGACAGCGTCCCCTTTTGAACAGCTTTATATGATTGCTTCCATCCACAGGTTACTTTATTCAAGTGGATTTGCCACAAGAGCACTTGCCCATTAGCAATCTCTTCTGCAGCCTGCTTTAAAATCTGCTTATAGTTATGGCCAGATAAAAGCATGTGAGGTCAGTTTGGTAGAGCAGAGACAAATACTTTAACATAAGGTTTTCTATTCTGTGCGAGCAGCTAATAAAAGTGCCTGCAGGTGTTGAGAATTATCCTTCTCTTGGAGATTTCTTTGCAATCTGAACCTAATCTTGGCAAAAGCTTTGGCAAGGATATCTGGCACATTAATTAAATTACTTTCCCACCCCCACAGGTCTTATGCTGTAGCTTTGATTAACCACCTCTGTGCCCAGGATACAAACTGCAGGATAGACATTATCAGTTTTGCAGGTGTATGGATGCTAGAGATAATATGGGATTCCTTCTTTATCTGGATGGATGCTCCTTACTGTTTCAACACTACACAGCTTTTCCTTTAGCTCCCGCTACAGGGATCCTGCAGGCGTATTACGAGATTTTAGTATGAAGACCTTTTTATTCAGTATGTATCTCTGGATGGCCTTTGCTGAGAAGTTTCAGATCCTTAGGGGAAAATGTCTTACTCCTCCAAAGCTCCCCCTCTATTTAAATGGCTTTTCCTTGCTGCAGTATTACAGCTGTGACACATCAAAGCTAGTAGCTGGTGTGGCAGGACATGCATTCCCAAATCAGCCTCAGTGACGAAAGGTGATTTGCAGTGACAGGTTTCATATCTTACGGTGTCATTTTCATGAATGACTTGGTTAATTAAATTTAATGTGGAACAAGAGCTTGCTTACATTCTGCCAGGCTTAAGATGTTCTTACTCACACCTTACTTAAGGAACAATCCCTACTGTTGAATAAGGGCTCCAGGATTTAGCCCTCTGTTAGCAGTCTTCCATAAACCCTTTGTTTTCCTAACATGTTAAAAACCAAGGCTTAATGGGTTCACGATGACATCAGTTATCAAGATTTGTGTGGTGTTGGCAGATGTTGAATTTTCAGTGGAAAACCATTAAACAGATTTGAGTCAGGGCAAGTTTCATAACATGCACGTATTATACCGGTGGTTACATGTGTTGACTTCAGCTTTATTTATTACAAAAGAAAACAGGCCTGTACTTATACAACAACAGCAATGAGAAATTAATCTTCTGAATAGGAAAATCAGTCTTGTCTTGTTAAAGGTACTCAAAGTTACTTATTGAGCATGCTGAGTTTGCAAAAACTATGTCTGCAACTTTCAGATTTAATAAATCTAAAATTAAATATTAAAAAAAAATAAGAAAAAATATTATTGGAGACCCGGGGTTGTTTTTTTTAACA